GTCAAGATTTCAAGACCTCAGAAAATTTTATCTTTTCCAACGAAAAATGCGGGTTATGTCATTATTAAGCTTCAATTATATTGGTCAGAGACCATCAACAGGTGGAGATGAAAAAACTTCTTAGTAATTTTTTTTACTTGAGTATTTGATTTCTTGAGGTTATGACGACTTGAAATTCACACATTTTATCGATAAATTTTCACCGCAGTAGATGTTTATTAGCGACTAACGTAACCAGCCAGACAGGACGCCATGAATTTGCGTGGAAATATTTGACTGACAAAAAGCCGGCTTAATTGCAATCCTGCTGATTCAAATTTGTTGTATCTTTTTAAGGAGAACGAGCTCAGTCTCTCTTGTCCTTACGTTAAATTGGATTTAACTAAGTCATTTTGGCTTACTAGGTGGAGTTGGGATCACGAAACTTGAAAGGGTTTCTATTTTATTTTATTTTATTTTTTTATCGCGGCTCAACTGTTTTCCCCGACGAAACGAAAGAAAACTTGATGATGAGGGCGCTGATTGAACCGGAAAGCTCTTTTACTCTTCTGACTGATGTATGGGAGGTTTGGCGGTAGGCGTTATCAGTTCTTGTCCTGTAGGAAAATAATTGTATCAAAAGTTGGATGTTGTTTCAATGAAAAAAAAATCGATGCAGTAGGCTACTGATGGTTTTTCAAGTTCCAGCTGTCAGAGAAAGACACCTTTATTGTTTGAGTGTTTCTTTCTGTGAAGCCTGAGCAACTAAAATATCGCGGCGTTTGTTTCTCATACAAGTGTCTTATTTCGAAGGTTACACAACAAAGCCAACGCTCATATTTTGCGCTTGGCAAGTAATAAGTGAATCTGTATCGATGAGCATATTGACTCATTTGTTTGCTCAAGTACACGCTTCCACAGCGTCTTGTTTATATTGCAATGGCGCCGTACCGTGGAACAGATATAAAAGACAGTCACCCTCTCTTAAGTTGTTTCGTACACTGTAAAAGGCCATCAGAAACGTAGACCCAAGACATAAGACTAAATCCTACAGATTCAAAAATTTTCGATGCAGGGAACTAACATAGAATAACCGGCCTTGGTTCGATGGACAAATGGAGTTACCAAGCTTGAATTTTCAGTATTTATTATGGAGTATTAACTCTGAAGCTGTTGGAAAAATAGCAATCACTACGTAAACTTAAATGATTTGGAACGAATCGAAATAACTGGCCAAACAAAAGTGAGAAAAATACTATTAAAAAGGAGACTTACTTTTCTCCAAGCTTGTTCAACATTACAAAACTTCGAAACATGTACACTCAAAAGACAAAACTGCTGAACATCATGATCGTAACAAAAAAAACAGCATTTCGAAATCTAAAAAAAAATTTTGTTTTCAAGCGAAACATGTATATCTCCTCTTAAGCCACGAGGCCAAAACAAACTTTGAACGTCTTGTCCCAGTCCTACATGTAAGCATAAGCATTTAGTCCGCGTAACTGAGTACTTTGCTGCTCAAACTGAGTTTCGTATTCCCGGTCGTCTTAAGGCGAGTGCATTGAAGCGAGGCTAATGCGGGTCAAATATCGGAGAAAACGATCAAAACAATATGGTGAATCACAGTTGTTGAGTTTTCAATTGCTCAAACAGCACATAGCACTCCAGAATAGGAGTAATCGGAGCTTAGGAGAGTGCGTTCGACATGTTTGTTAGCTATTTAAAAGGTGTACAGTATGTGGTCCTTGGTCTGACCGGTTTTACTTTGTGATGTAATTTTCGGGAAGGAAATAAGGTTACAATACAAACGAAACTTTCTGAGTGTTTATTGATCTGTTTGCCTTCTTAAGCTTCATTCGAAGTTTCAGGATGCTAGCGAAGGCGGGAAACTCAAGTTAAGGCGAACGTAGGCGAACTTTGTTCTGTTATTTTTGTTTGTTTTATGGCGACTTAAATTACTTGGATATATTGTGAATTCAGGCATACGCGATTAAATGCGTTAAGAAAGCCTATTTTGTGATGTACACGGCGTACAAGAAATGTTCTTTCGACTTACAAAAGAAATTTCTCGACAAGTTCAATTTTAAAACCAAAGTTATAGATAATACTCCAAAGTAAATTTGGCATACCAGGTCCTTGGTCCGGCCACCGGACGATAACATTAATCAGCCAAATAGTGATTGAAAAGGGGGAGCCTCAGACAGTCCAATTTTCTTTACGTTTAGTTCGTTGTAAATTAAGATTCATGAATTTAAGTGAGAATCTTTCAACTTTGAGTCATTGGAGTAAATAATAAAGACCGCATGTAGCGTCCAAGTTAAATAATTATGCTTGTTGCAAGAAGCAGATGTCCGCCTGTTGTTTCATTAGCCATGCAAATACAGCTTTGCATTTATCAAGAGAACGTATCCCCCGAGCATTTAAAGACAAAAGTTTAAATGTTACGCTCATCCTTTTTCGAATTTAATGCAAAACACCCAATTACTTGCTACCCAACTTCAAAAACACTTTTTATGGCTTTTATTGATTTGAAAAACATCAAATTTACCAACTATTGTATTCCAAAACTAGCCTGTCCAAAATGGTGAGCTTACTGCGTGCATTGACACTAAACAAACAAGTTGACAAAACTCGCATGTTGAAAGGCAGCCAGAGAACACTGTTTTGCTGCCATTAAACGAATCGAGGTGGCAAAATTACTATAAGATGACTCGCACATGCATAAAAAAAAACATAGCCAAAGCAGAGAGGAAAATAATATATTACTCCCTCCGAAATTTAGTATAGCTTTCCTCGTAAAGTCATAAAGAGTTTCTTCCAGGTTTATGAGAGAAGCCCCCACATGTCTAGTGACAAGCAGCATTACTGAAATAGATTTTAATCCATAATATATATGAACATTGATAATTTGCTTTTCTCGATGATTGTTTAACAACAATAACGGGATTTAACACAAATGGAAACTTACTCAATAAAACTTACTCTGCAGTTAGTTGTTGTTGTCCTTAATGTTCAAACGAATTTTTCGGATAATTTGCTCAGATTCACTCTCTATACAATATAATACACAACTGAGGGTACGAGGCACGCCATGCTCCCTTTCCAACACAACATTTTCCACGAAATTCTAACTCCAACGGTAGATCGTAGGAATAGGATAGCATCGGATATACAACCAATAAAGCTTTCCCCGCTAAAGAAACTGACGAATTCAGCAGACTTTGACAAACTCGAAGGATATAATCCAAAAAAGCCGAAACCTCTTGCGCCGAGGTGGCCGGGCCAGATCAATGTGCGGCCAAGCAAATGAGAACTGAGTACTGTCCAAAATCAAATCCATCCTGGGTGTCCTGTGGTGCCCTTTCTAGGGACCGATACATATTCCGATACATAGCCTGCCCAAAGTTAACCTTCCCTGCGGGAAATACATTTGCTCGAGGGCTATTGTTCACTTAAGCCAATCGCGAGTCGCCCAAGCAAAACCAGTGCACGCGCCAAAATGAGAAGAAAAATAAAGAAACATGTAAAGATGATGTTACACGGGAAGATTCGCAACGACGATTTTTACTGCAACCTTTCGTTGCAAAGTCGGAACAATATTGCAGTCATTCAAACCAATGTGGCAACTCTGTGCAACTCTGTCGTTGCGAATCATCTCGTGTAACATTATAACCTTACACGTTTATGGCCGCATTTTGTAATTATTTCTCGCAAAACTCCACGTTTCGAAGCTTAATTGACCACGCCGGACAGCAACGACAACAATAACAACAAACAACAATAGTACAGATTAGCGAAACATCGGCTGGGCACGTGCATCACGCTTTATTCCCCAGACAATTATCGATTCTAGCAAAAAAGGATGTATTGGGACTTTTACAACTGATATATCGCAATTGCTGTCAGGGCTTTAAGAAATGTAATTTTGAAATAGACGCCTCCCTTGAATAAACCCACGTCGCATGACATCGGGAATGCAAAAAACGCCGCGGCGTTACTACGGTAAGTAAGCTGTCTTAATTGCAAGACGAGCATTACGGCATAAGGGCAACTTTTATCAGGCCAATATTTCGACGAGTTCAACTAGCCTTCTTTAGGGCCAGTGTTATAAGGAACGATAAAATCGGCGGCTCAGATATGACCATGGTTAATCGATTTTCAGACTAAAAACTAATTTTTGACGAACTTCTCCAAGCAAACTTAGTCTAGTCTAAACTTTCTAAAAGGTGGCTATTAAAAAAAAAAATGTTTACACCTTCTTCTTAAAAGTTTATTGGAGCACGTTGTCATTTTGTTACAAACCAGTAACGAAAGCGTTTTATATTCAGGTAAACAGATATGTCCAAGACGAAGTTATCGACGTTTTTGCGCTCTATGTTGTTGGTGTTATTTCTGGTGTCTTGGGTTTCGCTTAAGACGATAGTCAAGGATGGAAATTTTCCTGTCAGTACAAATGGAGTAAAAGGTAAAAATAGGTTAAGGTTGCTAATGCCATTCACACGCACCTAACAGCACTGATGACATGAGTCAACTCGAACGGACTGCTGTCTTCGGGAGACTCTTCTAGTTATTACCGATAAAAGTTGGAATAGTCTGCATAGCAGCCAACAAATGCAGGTTTCATATCCTGCATTCCTTTATACAAACAAAATGGAAACTAGAACAGGCTTTCTCTTTAGAGGTAGGGGGGTACTTGCGCACATAAAAAATAGACCCTTAGAAAGTATTGTCGGGCCTGAGATATTTTGAACTTTCGACTGTTCTGATTATTTGAAACAATTTATTTCTTTTCTACACTCCCCATGTTTCAAGCTACTTTCGATTCTTCCATATAAAGGAGGTTTGAAAAATCGGAAATTTAAGTAAGAAAATCGTGTTGCTTTTGTTTTCCTTACAACAAAAAAGATGCGAGCTCCACAGAATGGCTACAACCCACCGGAGACGAGGCTAACAAAAGGGTGTCGAGATCACATCGGGGTTCTTCATCCAGATCGACTCCTGGCTATATTTATATCATTACT